CATTGAGCTATTGCGCACTGTCCCAAAAACTTTTAGTACCTTCACATAACTTTTTTGTACCGTCCCAAGACTTCCTGGTACTGTCCCAAGACTTCTATGTACTGTCGCAAGATTCTCTCGTGCTGTCCCAAGACTTCTCTGAACTGTCCCAAGACTTTCTCGTGCTGTCCCAAGACTCTTAGGTTTTGTCCCAAGACTTCTCGTAATTGTCCCAAGACTACTGTCCCCAGACTACACTGTCCCAAGACTCTCCGGTACTGTCCCAGGACTTCTTGGTACTGTCCCAAGACTACTCGGTACTGTCCCAGGACTTCTTGGTACTGTCCCAAGAATACTGTTCCAAGACTGTACTGTCCCAAGACTACTGTCCCAAGACTTCTGGTAATTGTCCCAAGACTACTAACCCAGTTTACACTGTCCCAAGACTCTCCAGTACTGTCCCAGGACTTCTTGGTACTGTCCCAAGACTACTCGGTACTGTCCCAGGACTTCTTGGTACTGTCCCAAGAATACTGTTCCAAGACTGTACTGTCCCAAGACTACTGTCCCAAGACTGCACCGTTCCAAGGCTGCACTGTCCCAAGACCACTGTCCCAAGACTGCACTGTCCCAAGACTACTGTCCCAAGACTGCACTGTCCCAAGACTGCACTGTCCCAAGACCACTGTCCCAAGATTGCACTGTCCCAATACTACTGTCCCAAGACTGTAGTGTCCCAAGACTGTACTGTCCCAAGACCACCGTCCCAAGCCTGCACTGTCCCAAGACTACTGTCCCAAGACTGTACTGTCCCAAGACAGCACTGTCCCAAGACCACTGTCCCAAGACTGCACTGTCCCAAGAATGCGCTGTCCCAAGACTGCTGTCCCAAGACTACTGTCCCAAGACTGTACTGTCCCAAGACTACTATCTCAAGACTACTATCTCAAGACTGTACTGTCCCAAGACTCTGTACTGTCCCAAGGCTTTCTGGTACTGTCCCAAGACCACTGTCCCAAGACTGTACTGTCCCAAGACTGTACTGTCCCAAGACTCTTCGGTACTGTCCCAGGACTTCTCTACCAAGTGTTGGGATAGTGGGAACTCTTCTCTTTCGTTGTCGGGTCTCTTGAACCACTGTACCTGGTACCACAACTTGAGCTCTAGTAAAAAATTTCCCAAGAAAACCCAACCTTACTGGCCAAAAATTTGAATCACTAACTCCCCTGTATTTATCTTCCTTTTAATGTTTTGAAGCAAGTTGAAACCCAACTTGTTCGGGGTGTCTTGTGATCACGTGTTTGTTCAAAACCGATTAAAAATTTTTACCAAAAACGTGAAAATTTAAACAGGGAAAAATAATAAAAACAGAGAGATAAACCCACCTAAAATTCAAAGGTGACTTCTGTCAACCTTTTATTAGAAAAAACGTCTGGTACCTGATTGCCACGCGTTTTCCTCCCCCCTGCTAGCAATCTTATGGGGTATCACAAAAACTGTCTACTTCCGTTCCCCCAACCAATCTGACCAGGGTACCTACCTTAATTCGATCTTAAATTTGGATATCTGCATCTTATAATCAACGCGTGTAAGATTCTAATGTAACTAAATCGACGATGTCGATCAATTAGTTACTCTAATGTGTCCCCCCTTTTTACAATTTTCAACCGCCAACCTCTAACCTGACCAGCCCCTCTTCTAACCTCCCCCCTCTTTAGCCCCCCTCTTAAGCCGAAAATTACCTTAAGCGCCGGGTGCTAAACTTCTTGAGAGAAAACCGTAGAACCTGTTTCCAGGCTCTGCTTGAGTAAAAACGTTCCTCAAAACAGAGGGGTTCCGCTTATTCAATTTTACACTTGTCTGCTAGAATGTAATGTGGATTTTAACGATACCCGTTTGACCAACTTGAGAACACCCCCGTCCTCTCTTGTTGTTCTGATTCCGTGCTGGTTGTCTCCTTGACGGGTCCTGCACCTGATCAGCAGCACCACTTTCCCACTTGGCTGGTCACCTGTTCCAGTCAAACCTCCTAATGGTCCAGCTAAGTCCCTGTGAACCACTTTCCTACTCGACTGTTCACCTCTTCCAGTTAAGTCTCCTAGTTGTCCAGCTAAGTTGCAAGCTATCGGAAAACCCTTAACAACGCCCCACACTCGGGCACCTTATTAAATTGCTGAATTGATTGAAACGATTGGTCTTATAAAACCAGTGTGGGTATACTATTTAATTATTATAGAGGTTTGATCCAACTAATCTGGTGTCAAAGTCACTGTCATTTTTTTTGTTTTATGGTTTTTTTTTCCTTTTTTTTATTCTTTTTCGGTTTTTGCTTGGCATTTTGTCTTTTGCTCGTTTTTTCGTCCCCCTAGTTACCCCCCTTACTCGGTTAGCTAAGCCTCATTCGGAGAGCGTACCAGGAAGTTTTCTCCAGTTTTCTTAAAAAGCTATCACGGTACAACCGGAAGGCTTACACGTTCCCGCTGAACCGTACCACCGGTACTCTAGTATGGGCATGTAGCCCGGAGCTGTGTCAAGTGGGTTCAACTCCGTATTCATGATGTCGTAAAAACACCCAGGAACGCCATAAAAACACTATGTAACAGTCGCCTACTTAAGTCACATATGACGTTAAAGAAAAATAGGCCCTATAACCATTGGCTCAAGAGTCAGGGACACTATCTCTTGTGTTTTTCTACCTCGAACGATCGGAGCCAACTCGGTTCACTTGGGACATGAGACTAAAAACCCGTTACAGCTTAAAGGCCACTACCAAAATACCCCCCACTCTAGAAAATAAGAACGTCCCCATACTTAGGTCTCAAAATACCCAAAATACGCGAACGCCGTTAAAAACAGGGTCGGAACATTCCGTAAAATTACTTTTTATTAGACAGTGGAACTTCGATCCATTTCAGATGGATCAACCTAAAACTCTCATTACCTCAACATAACAATCAAAAAGGGAAACGGACTTTATCCTCCACGGTCATTATCCTCCAGGCGATATCCTCCACCATTATCCTATCGGATAATTATTGTCATCCGCTTTTTCCTCCATTTTTATCCCCCAATTTTATGAATTTGGATGTTTTCCTCCAATTAGTAAATTCAGTCAAATTATTAGATTATATCCAATATTTGATCATTTCAGACAATAAATGGAACTTCCTGATCATTCCGCGTACGGGCAGCCCAATTATATGGAACAAGTTGACTTCGGAACATCTGGAGGATAAAGTCCGTTTCCCTTGAGAAACCATGAAATTTGCCATGCTCAACAAAAACCAACGAAATCGAAAACTTCAATTACGATTTAATTGATATTATTAATTTTTGTTATTCAATTTCATCGCAGTTTTAATTGTCAGTTAATTTCTCCTGTCTGCTTTGTTTTTTTTTCCGTTTCATTCTTCTCAATAAATACTCGGAGGACTTTATCCGCCATGGAGGATATCGCCTGGAGGATAATTACCGTGGAGGATAAAGTCCTGTACCCATCAAAAAACACACTCAAGAAAACTAATTTGAATACTCACATATCGGCACACTCGAGAATTGGAGTAATTAAATTAACTAGCGACTCTAGCATGATATATTTGAATATAACTTGAGAAGTTTGCTATTAATGAATTCCAATTCAAGGAAATGAGTTTTCACTTGTGAATGTAGTTTTTGATCTGAACCATTGGGAGACTTAGATTGTCTACCTTTCCACCGAAGGTTCACTCTGGTCCAACTGAATTTCGATGTTCTTTTACTTTCGATTATTTTCTGTCTCCTGTCACGAATAAGACAGCTCTACTCTCGTTCGATTAAGTGTCGGAAAGTGCGAACAGCAATTTTTCGCTGCTTAATTTGACCACTTTCCCGCGTTTGTAATTCGGTCGTTCTGATCTTATTTTTCTAATCTTTTCAGATGTCGCGAGAAACTTGAGCATGACATGTCCAATGCGAGTTTTTGAAAAATTCCATTTGACCGCAAAATCATGTTATTCGCATTGCTCAAGGTCAAACTTCCAAATATGACCGACTGGCACATACTCCCCGGACTCAAGATCGATGTCCTCATCGCGTGCTGCCGTCTGCCAGTGAATCCCCAGAATTCTGAGTGTAGCTCAAGATACAGTGCCAGTGGTCATTTACAGAAATTTGCAGCAGACTTAAGCTTATCCACACCCCAAAATTCACAACCATTTAAAATTGTCACACTATCGCTAAAGAGCAATCAAAATCCGCATACACCTGCACCTTTAATTCATGCTTTGCAAGCTAATGATTTAAAATTTCTTTTGTCCCATTCGATCAGGAAATTGTCATGTTATTGTCATGCAATTACGATCAGGAAATTATTCAAAAAAAGTGCCTAACCATTCTCAAATCAAGCAATATTTTTTTCGATGTCTTGACCAAAAACAATGTGAGTGACTTTTTTCAACTGGTCGAGCAAAATAACCACTGGAAAATATGTAAGATTTGAGCGGTTTGAGCGGTTTTTTTAGACAATTACGCTCAAAATCTTGCTTCAAATTGAGCGGTTTTTGAACGGTTTATCTAAAAAAACCGCTCAAAAACTGCGCAAGATTTGAGCGGTTTTTTTAGACAATTACGCTCAAAATCTTGCTTCAAATTGAGCGGTTTGAGAGGTTTTTGAACGGTTTATCTAAAAAAACCGCTCAAAAACTGCGCAAGATTTGAACGGTTTTGAGCGGTTTATCTAAAAAAACCGCGCAAGATTTGAGCGGTTTTTTTAGATAAACCGCTCAAAACCGTTCAAATCTTGCGCGGTTTTTTTAGATAAACAGCTCAAAACCGTTCAAATCTTGCGCGGTTTTTGAGCGGTTTTTTTTTTAGATAAACCGCTCATTTTGAAGCAAGATTTTGAGCGTAATTGTCTAAAAAAAAAACGCTCAAATCTTGCTTCAAATTAGGTGAAAAATCTCGACTCGGGCAGCCGGAACATTCAGGGGTTCGCCCTGATACGAGCAGTATTGTTTTGATTAAAAATTTTTTTGTTCATTTTCCATTAATTGTTTAATAAATTCCAGGTGAAATGAGTCTGAAACTGCTGAGAAATGCATCAGTGCAGCTACAGGCCACACAGTCTGTTGAAGCTCTCGAAAAGAATCTTGCTTTGCTTGATGCTTTCTCTAAAAAGTACAGAAAGAATTTATCTGTTTATGAAGCGATTCTTACGTCCAAACTGTCGCATCCTTCTAGTGATCAAATATGGGGCAATTATTGCAAAATCAAAAAAGACTTGATAAACATCATTGACTTTGGAACTAACGAAGACATACAGAGACATGCGCTGCAGATATGTCTTAACTTTTTATTTGCAGAAATCAAGTTCTGTTCAGCTGCGCCTATTTTTGACACGTTAGTTAAAGATTCGATCGGTAACCTCTTGCGATGTTTATGCCTAGATGGGCCCAAAAAGCTTTCAATTACATTTATTCAATTTTGTAATAAGAAGCCAGACTATATAGTGTTTATAGTAGCTGTCTTTAATTCTAGTGGTTTTACTGAATCTTTTGAGCTGTTGGATACTACCCAGAGAGATCACTTAGTAAAATGCTTGCTGAAATTCAATTTCGAGAGTGCAATTGAATATTGTAAGGCGAGTGAAGATAGTACTTCTTTAAAGAAGTTTCCCTCTAAGTTATCAAAAGTTTGGCTCACTGTTTTGACGTGGCACCTCAGCGTACAGACCAAAACTTTGATTCTTACAAAAATGCGTGATAGAATAATACCCACTTTTGCAGATTGCCGCGACTTAACTGACTTTTTGATTAAAGTTCTCGAAGGTGATTCCAGTAAGCTTAAATTTCTGGCTTTGGAGTGTTTTTACGTTCTAGTTGCCAAATATAATATTGAATATCCTGGCGTTTACGACAAGCTACTTGCAATGTGCTCTGAAGAAAGTTTTCAACTATCCAGCTACACCACAATTTTTCTTGAAATTCTGAAGAAGTTTTTGATGTCAACTAAGTTATCTCTAGAAATTTTGAAGCTATTTACAGTGAGATTAGGTCATATTGTGTGCAAATGTGAGAGTGGAGTTATTATATCTGTATTAAACCTACTACAGGATATTTTATTGCAACACAAGTTAATATCTTCCCAGCATTACGACGGGCAACGCGAAGAGTTCTTGGATGTTTTACTCACTTTAGAAGCGTCAATGCAAATGCATTACAACCCTAAACTAAGAAAAGCAGCTGCAATGTTTTTGAGAAACCTGGATGAAAATGATGTGGAGCAAATGTCCCAAAGTGTAGATGAGCTTATGGAAAAACTTTCGGACAAAGCAATTAACAAATCTGATATTATGTTTAACGCTTTAATTGAATAGTTATTTCTGTCTGTGTTTCTCTAATTTAGAGCGAAGCATACTTAGCCACACGCAAAAACTGATGGAGGTATCAGACGGTTATTTAAGGTTTTAATTCTGAGGTAAAAATGTTTTTATACATTTCTAACTTTGTGTAATTTTACGAGGCCCTTTTTTCAAAAAACCGAAAAAACATCGTTGAAAAGTTTTTTTATAAGAAGTTTCAAATATTGTTTTAATTTTTTTTTGCAGATTTTTTTGAACTGTTTGATTCCCAAAATGGCGCTTAAAACCACAAACGAACTTTACCGGAGTAAAACTTTGGTTTTACGGCTTAAATTAAGCATAAATAAGCTATTGTAAGTCTGAACCTTCTTAGCTCGGAGTTCAAAAATCAAAAATTTCAAACTGGCTTTTCTCGGAAAATTTTTTGGAATTTTTAAACGTCGATCGAATGAGGACTGAAAGGGCTTTAAGATGATATATTGCTCAGCCCAGTGCCATGGTTATGTGTGGTACCTGATTTTGCGTGGAAAACAAATAAAGTAAAAACTAAGTAAAACAAAACTAAAACACCGAATACAAAGTTCCTCCCTATTTGTCAAATGGTCAGATCAATTAATGTTGACGCAATTGTTTCGAATTTTACGAAATCTTTTAGCCTTCTTTCTCTAAATGCCTTAGCTGAAGAAATGAAAAGTGCTTTCAAGACCTCGAAATGGAACAATCCAAAATGGAAAAGACTAAGGCTCAATAGTTTTGACAAAACTCTTGGGCATATCATGGATGTAATTTTTTCTTCGAAACTCTCCTGGACACTATGTTAATTGACGTGCTCAAAGTGCACAATGTTTATTTTTTCTGAAAGTTAACCTTGTCGGTACTCCTGAAACGAACCGCTGTCGGTAAGTCATAAATGAAAGCTAATTGCCTACTCAAACTACATCTTTCTTACAGTGTCATTCGGATCCTGTGTCTGGAGACCCGGTAAAACATACTTATAACTAATTGAAGATTTTCAAAATAAAACTACAAATAGATGCTATCAATTTCAGTTTGGTAGTACAAAGATATAGATAGATTATATTTTCTCAAATTACCTCTGTCTTTTCATCATGACTTGAACAATATTCTTTTGCATGTCGAACTCCATCAGGACTACTATAACATCGACACGCAAGAACTACAATACTTCTGTTGGAGCGCGCAATCTTCATCATAACAATGTTTGATTCATAACATTTCAACTCGGCAAAAGTATGGTGGCGTGCTGTCGGAGTTCTTACAGGGTTGCAAATCTTACCTCAAAGTGTAACTGCTCAATTTTTTTTCGAGTGTCCGAGATATGACGATTTTATGAGTTTGAAAAAAAAATGTTTTTTTTTTAAAATTAAATTTCAAAAAAATTGAATTTCCTTTCCCTATGGTGGAGAGCTTTCAGGGTACTGCCAGTGGTTGCAAATCTGGCAGTACCCTGAAATCTGGAATTTAACTGCTCATATTTTGTTGAGTTTTCGTGATATATGACTTTTAAAAATAGCCAAACGAAGTTAGTAACGTTTTTGAAAAAGCTATCAAGCTTTAATTCCTGCTAAAACTAAAAATGAAACGATGTCAGTTTAATCCAAACTTAATCGCGCTTGGCCTTATTTTTGCCCTTTGTATGTATCCAAAGTTCTTGAATAACAATTTGTTATCTATCTCTTAAAAATGTTTTTTTTTTGCTTTCATGTTAAAAAATAGCCTATTTCATCATGTGGAAACATTTGTTTTTTATTTTTTTTGCAAAACGGCTCAATTCCAACATGTAAAAGCATTAAAAAAATGTTTTGGGGTTTTTCATTTTTTTGTTTTTGAGGTTTGAAGTACGTCTTTACGCTCATGGTTCGTACTATCGATGTCGAAACATTAAGTTCTATAAGCTTTTTTTTTACCGTATAACAGTTGAAGCTGAATGCGTGAACTGTTTTTTTTTCGCTTTTTCAAAAGCTACACTAAAGTTTGTCATTTCGGGTCTCATTTTGAACACATTTCATTCTTTATCATATGCCTTACTTTTCAATAATGGCTAAATAAGTAGAAAATATCATCATTTTTTGTCTTGCTGCTGTTTAATTTTTTAAATTTATTTTTTTTTCATTTGCAAAATGTAAAGACTGCACTCTGTAATCGACTCACCATGAATTTAGTCCTATGTTTTTGAAATTCAAAAAAAATAATAAAAGAATTAAAAACTATTTTTTTTTTTTTGAAAAATTATTTTCAATCAATTGGAAATTCGAGTTAAAAAGATAAATAACTCGAAATTTTCAAAAAAAAATAGTTTTTAATTCTTTTATTATTTTTTTGAATTTCAAAAACAGGACTAAATTTTATCATATAAGATCAGTATTTCAAACCACGACACAAACGCACGTCTTATTCAGTATCATTATAAACCAAAAGAAATTGGATTTTTTTTTACTTTCAAAAATTATGAAAGAAATGCTTCTCTAAAATGCATTTCATTCAGGACTAAATGTAATTAAAAAATTTTGGTAAATTTTTTTCATCTTTCTCAAAATTTTCCATCATAGTTTTTTTTTGTTAATCAACTTGGCATGTTATGTTGATGATATTTCACAAGTGGTGCCAATCTCCGCTTCGCCTCTTGGTAAATAATTTAAAAAATGTTTGTATCCGAAGCTTCAAGTACCAGAGATGAGCTCTTGGTAAATTAATTATTTAAATAGGAATTGGAATTATACTTTCGTGTAATTTATCAAATTCTGAGGAAATTTCGAAAAATTTTCTTCCGATCTTCTTTTGGCTCATGTCAAACATAAAGAGCCAAACGTTTTTCTTGAAACTTGAATATTTTGAAAATTTGGATACTATGCTTGCTTTCTATGCTAGACTATTTATGGTGGAACTGTATAAAATAGCATATAGACAAAATAGCATAAATTTTGCAAGCTTTTGTTACGTGTTATCGCGTGCTTTTATGACTAAGTTTTCAATTCTAGAAGACAAATACATATCGTGGCCATTTAGTGGCTGATACATAAGATGACTATTTATTCATTTTCGTTAATTTTTCTCAAAAAAAAACTGAATAAAATCAAGTCCATTTTTTTGTGCTCATTTACAACTAAATTTTTGATGGCCGGAATGTTGTGGATAGTATTAGTATCATGAAATCTGATTGGCTAATCTGATTGGTAATTGAACATTTTTTCAAAAACTTTCATGCTATTTGATCTTTATGCTAAAGTTATGGTCACCATATATGATTGCAGTCATGTTTTCTGAAGCTCTTTCACGATTTATGAACGAGACTTTTAGAAATTTTGAAAATTATGTTTCTCATTGGACTTTTATTTCTGTCTTTTTTTACGGTTGCCATGAACAACAGTTATCAAATCGGGTATTGTTTTTTTTCGAACAAAACAATTCTCTTTCCCTCTCTATCTTCATCTGTTTCGGTGTAATACGTATCTGAATGTGATACATATGTTCTACATATCCGCAAATGGAAATTTACGATTTTAGGTACAGTTTTGAAAAAAATGAACGGTTTTCAATTACCCTTTGCTTCCTGAGGTCGATGAACGGAAAATGGAAAATGTTCGATGAGCGGTTTTCAATTACCCTTCGCTTCCTGAGGTCGTTTGATTTGTTCGGCTTTTTTTTCAAAAAAAAAGTAATTATGTTATTACACGCGGGCCACGATTTATTTACTATGTATGAAGAAAATTGTCTGCTCTTACCATCAGATCTGATGTCGCAGAACGAGATTATGCTTGTAAAGTTTCAAAGAGACAGTGAAAAGTTTGATGAATTTTGATGGGGTAGTTAGGATCGATGAAGTTTTCTATTCAGCTTTCATGTGAATTAGAAGATGAAGGAGAATAGTAATAAAATTTTGGAGGCATTTGGAAACAGTTAGGAGAAAGGATCTTCTTAACAACATCTCATTATTTTTCAGTGGTTACTTAAGTAACTACCATGTTCGATTTAACAACTGTTGCCATTATTATTATTATTATTATTATTATAGATTTAGCAACAGAGTTGCAAGGGGTTTTCCCCTAAGTAAGTCGATTGGAAATGAGTCTACAGTTGTTCCGGGTACAGTCACAGTAGAGTTTCCAGGTACATGAGTTGTCAGGATTGAAATATTGGTCAAAGTAGCGCCACATCCATTTGAGACAGCGACTCTTAAACCCGTCACTGTTGAAGACGTCAATGATAGGCGGTGCTAGAGAAATTAAGCGTGCAGTTCTGAACCAGAAGTTGTGTTCACATTGTCTTCTCCTTGGCCGAGTCACCTGGAACGAAACGGACCGACAGCTTCTGGTAGACAATGGTGATATTACATCAGAAAAATCATAATCATAACGACCAGTTAAAATTTTGTTGTAAAGCAGTAAGTCATTAAGCTGAATAAAGAAAGGCAAAGGTAAGATATTAAGAAATTTCAAAGCGTCTTTGTAATTCATGCCTGGTGTTATCCATCGGCATACCTTTCTTTGAAAGCCTTCAATTCGCTTCATTCCTGTAACGTTAAGACCGAATGCACTCGAGCTATAAAGCAGCTTGGGAAGAATCATACTCTTGTAGATGTTCAGCTTACTGAATACCGGCAAGAAAGGTGAGCTACGTTTCACCATTTGGAAAACTCGCATGACACTATTAATTATAGTAGTAATGTGGAGTGTCCAGTCGAGGTTACTTGTTATGACTAACCCCAAATCTTTATGTACAAGAGCAGGAGGAATAACATTATCATCAAAATAAATACCACTATAGGAGCCACTGAACAATAAATGAGAGCATTTCTGTAAATTAAAAGGGATTTTGTTCTGTATACTCCAGTCGAAGACAGAGTTCAGATCACTTTGGAATGCTTCAGGGGAGCGGTCGAAACTTATAAACTTTGCGTCATCTGCACAAAGCAAGGAATATGAAAAGGAACACGAGCTCGGAAGGTCGTTAATGAAAACGAGAAAAAGGAGTGCTGATAAAAGTGCTCCTTGTGGTACTCCACTGGAT